GAGTATTCAACACTGATGGTAGTAGCAAAGTACATATATTTAAAGCATTATATTTTAAAGTCTGTCCCTTAAAGAATTTCTGTAGCATGTATTTCAAACAAAAAATATGCTAGGATGGGAAACCAAAGTGTACAAACACATTTTTTTTTTGAGACAGGGTTTCTCTGTGTAGCCTTGGCTGTCTTGGAACTTACTTTATATATCAGGCTTGCCTCAAACTCTAAGATCTACCTGCTCTACCTCCGGAGTGGAGTGCTGAGATTAAAGGTGTGTGCCACCACACCCAGCTTTTTATAAACACATTCTTTATAAGATGAATTCAAGAAATTTACCAAGAACATCATAATTGATACTGGCTATCATGTAATTGTGTCATATAACAATTCCATTATTCCTTTGTATAATAAAAAGAGGTATGACTTGTTCTGGAGTAAATATTAATCTTTATTAATGAAAGATGTGCTTATTATACTCTTTACTGAAATACCTTGTTTACTATTTATTCTAGAGTAAGCATGAAATACTATTTTTATTTCAGTTAAACAAAAACCCCTACATAATCAAGTAAATTTTGTAATGATTTGTCATGGTGAAAATGGGCTATATGAGGAAATCTTTTGAAAACATTTAATTTCAAAAGAATTTGTATTTTCCAAAGAAGTGTAATCTTCATAAATTGCAATAATGAGAAAAAATTCAGAGACAGGTTTTTGTTAAATTGATATAAATTTTTATAGTTAAATATTTTTTTAAATTGTGTTCTTTTTATATTGTTCAAGTTTGAAAAAAGTAATATGATTAAAGCACCAGTCTTAACAAACCATGTTTGGGCTTACAAAACTACATTTGTAAGCAAAGGTATAATACTTTTCATCAGCTGGATGTCAAACTTTTGTTAAAGTTCCACTTGAGTAGGCTACTTCAAGAAGACTTCATTTGTTGTATTTGTTTTACAGTATTGTCTCTTACCTCCTGTATAAACATTCAAATGATAAAAACTTCCTGGCAAAATATGAAGATAAGCTAAAAATCTTTCCTGTACATTTCCTATTCAAACTTCCACAAAGACCATATAAATGTTTAACATATTTTATTTAGACATATAAACAAATTTTGCATGCCAGACTTTAGTCTTCATTTTATTTGACAAATCTGAAGTGAAAACATACGGAAATAGAAATGAGATAAGCAGGCATCCTCACCTGACATCACTGGAGTTTTCATTGAGAAACTTCATGAATTGGTGGGAGGAAAATACATCACTTTTGTTCAAACTCTTATTTCTATTGATCTTATTTTCAAATACAGAGAAAATCTCTCTGCCATTAAATTTTGTACGAGTTTTTTTTTTAAAGCTGGTAAATATAATGAGAAATTTATGTATGACTCCAATTCACTATCCTTGATCAAATGGGCCGTCTTCTTACTTGCCCTATAATTTTGGATATGATTAGTTTTTAGTAGTTTTGAAAAAGTCTTACTTATTCTTATTTTCAAACTGTAATTGTGGCAGCTTTCTGTCAAGGAAATTAGAACATCTTACAACTTTTGTAATGTATGAATAACATAGCACACTTTTGCCACAGTTATGTATATGAGTAGCAATCAGAGAAGAAACTGATCTTTTCATAAAATATAAGGGCATTGCAGTAATATGAAACATTAACATTTTATATGATAAAATTTTGATACAACCAATTTTATTCATGTTGTAGAACTTAATGTTTAGCTCAAGTGTTATGAAAATATAAATAAGACTCTTAATTTTATATCAATACCTTTTCAATATTTCTCTCCCATAGTTCCAGTTAGTGTAGTGCCACAGCCATGCTTATCTTATTTGCTTCTTAGTATAATGAATAATTATTGGAATATGCTTATAAAATATTGAAAAATTTTATAAAGGTTTCTGTAGATATTTTAGTACTAAATTATGTACTAAACATGTAACCTGAATACATTCGTTATGTTAATCCTAACTTTGATGAAGAAAATTTTGTACCTTTTAATTAGGTTATATTATGAGATTTCATCATTGTAATATATTTAACAAATACTTGTATGCACTTTGTAAAATCATTACAATTCAACTTAGAAACTTCTAAATACATTAAAGACTCAACTATAAAATATTTTCCAAGTAAGACAGTTATCAAGTACCTTTTATTGCCATTTTTACTACTAAAGCTTTTATGACTATATATTATGTCTATTTATCACTATGAAAACTTCTACATTCTTATTGTCCCACTACTACAGTACAGTATTATATGTTTTTAAGAAAGTGAATGGGATCACTTACAGAAAACATGTTTTGAAAGAACAGATTCTCCCAGATACTAACATGTACTTAGAACCAAGTTGCATAATGTATAATTTAATTAATGTAGTTATTAAAAAGACATTAGCCCATTTCCTTGATTAACAACATTAACCTCCACCTTTGACTTAGATATATCTGAGGCATGTTAGTATTGCCATACTCTCATTTAGTCACAAACTCAATGTGAGAAAAATGCATTTAGGCTGTATATTTCATGCTCTAGTTAACCTATTTTTTAATTTTATTGTCCTTTGCCTTTATTTTGCTGAAAGACAGCATTGAATCTAGTAGCTAAATTGCATGTTTAACATAATAGAAAAACTTGTAAAGAGTCTATCCTTATGAAGAAGTTCAACATATATGAAGCACCCTATATGAAAGTAGCAGGTTAGGTTCTACAATGTCTGCAAACAGAGTTTAAACAGTTTTTTTCTTTCCATTTGTATGGCGTTGTATCAAATATATCAATGTATACAAAAGGATTCAGGTCTCCTGAATGGCTGGGGAACTCATCTTCACAATTAAATCATCCCATTAGATTGATTGGGGTAGGACCATGGTTCACAATTTGATTGCGCTTTAGCAATAGAAAAATAACAATTAAAATACTGATGCAGACAAAGAAAATCTCCTTTGAGTTGTAGTACAGCAAAGTGGATTCATTCATGGCTAGAAAAGAAAAAAATATATCTTTTAAAATTGGTTCACAATTATCTTAAAATACTGCCATTACTACAAGTATATAGTTCTAAAATTATTCAGTTGGGTATATATACTCCTAACAGAAATGTATCATACTTTTATATACTCTTTTATATAGTGCTCAATAAAATGATGATCTCTCTGACTTAAGGCATGTGTTTTAAATGACTAAACCAGAAAGAGGGAGATCGGGTGCATTTTCTTCTTATTGTCATATTTAGAGGTTAAGTATATGCTGAAATAGCTCTAGCAATTAATACAGATCTATCATCTGTGAACCTGTATAAATATATTCCTCTATATCTCTTTCAGATCTAACTATTTCACTGGAGACAGAAGAAATGGCTACTACACTAGACCCTTTATTCCACACATACTCACTCTATTGTCACCTCTGAGACACATGTAGTTAGACTATCAATTGTTTCTGAGTCTTAACTTTCAGCATCAAATCCTTAAATTAAAATTGTGTACCCTGTGCAAACCTCTTTTGTTAATAATCTTATTGTTGAGTTATCAAATTCTCTTTATCACTTGATAATTAGTAATTGTTCCCAACTAATTAATGACCTAAGAAAATGACTTTAAAAGATTAAACTTTGCATGTATTATTATTTTTGCTGCAGATTTTTTAAATACTGCTTACTTCCACTGATTACTTAAAAGATTGGTGCCTATGTACTGTGAAAGACCATTAGAACTAAAATCTTCATTATTTTTATTATTACTCAAGTATTTGAGCTTATTTGACTATACAATATATATTTTAATGCATTATTTAATAACTTTTAAGTTTAGTAACAGCATAACTGAAGTGTAATTTTAAGATGTAAGATTTATTGCTTTTCACCATATACTTACCAAAATACAATAAAAATGTTAAAATATATGTATTATAAACACTAGTTTCCAAACTGCACACATATACTCAAAACCACACATCTCAGAAAACAAAACATTATTAGTAAACTGGATGCCCTCCTTTGCTCCCTTGCAATCAGCCTGTACTTTCCCTGATAAGCCACTTCTTGTGTTTACTAACCATGGATTTGCTTTGCCTATTTTTAGCATATAAGCCATTTGACAGGTAAATGTTAACACTGAAGTTACTTTCCACATGGTTTTGAATAAGGTCATGTGTGGTTTGAAGGGTGAGATTCTGAAACTTGTTTCTGTCCATTGTACCTGAGAAATGTTACACATTCCTGTGCTCATGATTGGTGAATTACTATTAAATATCATGTAAGACTGTAGAAGTATATGATTAAGAAAAACTGAGGAGCTCTTTTTTAATATTAGCAAGTTTTCTCAATCTCAGCACTATTAAAATTTGGGGACAGATAATTCTTTGGTAAGGGAGGGTCCTGCACACCATAGGATGCATGGTAGTACATGTGGTCTACACCCAGTAGATGCTAATATAGTTAATCTTTAATGAAAACTGAGAATATCTAAAGACAGTAAGTTGAGAAGTGGATGCCACTGGAAAGAACCACTGTGCTAGGAAAGATATATTTAATCTTTGATGATCACTACTATAAAGGTTAACAAAGAAAGCAGTAAAAGTTTTAACAACATAGCTGACATTCATTATAAGAAAGAGATTTTAAAATAATCAGCCCTTAATAATGGGTTGAATTATTTAGAATGGTGTTGATATCTATGTTGTCTGGTTATGTTGAAGGAAGTTGTAGAAAGTAAATATTAGAGTACATGTCATTTGCATGGTTATTCAGCCTTACATTAAACTCTAGAATTTTAAGCTGAAGGATTTTACAGTGTAGAGAGAAAACAGACACAACTCTCTTTTCAGATTTTAAAGAAATGAAAGGTAATACAAATCTACATTTAAGATTACAAAACATATTCTATTGATGCATGCACATTCATGCTCCATTTCCCTTCAAATTGTCTATGGCATTTGATATTTTACCTAATTTTTCAAAGCTGTAAGTATATAATTAATTAAAACAGACTAGAAATGCCCAAATAAACTTACACAAGTCCATTTGTCTTCGGTTTTCTCAATCACAATAGTCTGTGTGTCACTTCCTGGTGGTATATATTCATAGTCATCATACAGGAGACCTAGGATTGGATATTGTGTCCTGTACCTATGCACCAAAAACAGAATCACAAGTATTATGAAATAACTTTCATTTGTAGCCACTCCCATTTCCAGTCTCCTGTTTAAATCAATTTATTGCTGAAAAATTTTTATTAGTTTCAAATGAAATGCCTTCTCAATATAAAAGAACAACTATCACTATTTTTATGTTTAGTAAATGGGAGAAACTTCTGCCTCTGTCCATGATGGATCATTGGTAGCACAGGACAATGATACACAGAAAAGATAAAAATAAAATAAGTACCATAAATAACGAGCTCACTGCTTAGAGAATTTTTCATGTTTACAGGACAGGAAAAAAAGAAAACAAATGGATTTCAGAAACCTTATCAAGTTAAAGTGACACAATAATATACACCACAGCCATATCTCGTGGGGCAGATCTCTTTAGTGCTATTCTCTACAGAGAAAAAAAGCAGTATTCTGCCCCGCTCCTGACTATGACAGTTCCAGACACTCCTTGTCAAATGTGTCCCAAAATACTAGATGAAAATACCCTAAATAAATAATTCTTAGCTTATAAATATTGCACCATTCTGAGTAGGGTAATAAAATCTTGTTCTGTTGTATTATATTCTGTGTATGTATTATTCCTTTACTTAATGTATCCATGCCATATATGCTACTCACAGTAACTCAACTTTCTTTGTTATCAGGTCAACTGATGATACCACACAAAACCATTTTATTTTCCTAAAGCACAAGATTAGTGATGCTGAATATTCAGATATATACATTCTTTAAGAGAACAGGTAAAAAATCAGTACTTAATAAAGGAAAACATTATATGCTGATATTGATAATATCTGTTTTAAAAATCAAATAAGGAAAGACAATTTATGTAAGGGTTTATACTTTCCAGGGTTTCAGACATGCAGTGTGATTAGTGGAGCATATACCTGTCACATAAAGAAGGCAAGATAAAGACTGCTTTCCGCTGGGTGGTGGTGGTGCACGCCTTTAATCTCAGCACTCGGAAGGCAGAGCCAGGCGGCTCTCTGTGAGTTTGAGGCCAGCCTGGGCTAC